CAGGGCACCGTGGCCACCCTGGCCCTGGCGGTGGCCGGGAACCTGCTCATCATTGCCGCCTTCACAGCCGCCCTGCGTCGGGCCCCGGGAACCTGCCCCCCGCTGCAGGGTGTCCCTGCAGAGGGGAGAGCCCGGCTTAAAGAGCAGTGAGGCCCTTCCGGTGCCCAGCCAGAGGGCAGCCGAGGCCAGGCACTGGCATTGTGGGGCCGTGGAGGGCAGGAACTGCGGAGGGTCTGCTCGGGAGAGACGTGCGTCCGGCCCTACTTCCGGTGCCCGAGTCCGCTCAGCGCGGCACCTGACGACTAACCCAGGCCGCTGCCACGCTCGCTAACAGGCCCCTAACAGGCCCCTAACAGGCCCGAGACCTCCCGTGCCCTGGTGCTCAGACTGGGTCACACCTGCCCTCAAGGGGTGGGGTCTGCGCAGACTGGGGAGCAGCTTCCGCCTCTGGAGCAGAGCAGGTGCGCTGAATAAACCACTTGGGAAACTCGGTGGAGGTGGGCGCTCCCCTGTGCACCTGGACCCCCGCCCCCGCCCTCGCGGCTCGGGACTGGACAGACACAGGCGCTGGGTCCTCTGGGCTTTATTGGGAGCAGCCGGGCTGGCGGGGGGCAGGACGGGGTGCGGTGCGGGGGCGGCGGGCAGGCTAGGCCGTGCCGTAGAAGCGCTGGTAGGCGTCCTGGAAACCGATGTGGTCGGCCAGCTCGTCGCAGTCGGGGTTCAGCTCACACACCTCCCTCCGGGGCTCCAGGGGGTCTGGAGCGGGGGCGGGGGCCCTGGGGCCCCACAGCGGCATCAGCCTGGAGCCCCCGGGAGGCCCCGCCCCGCCCCTGCTGTGTCCAGGGCCCGCTTACCCCGGTCCTTGGTCCACATAGCGCCGGGGCCTCTTCACCACCTCGCTGCCCTCCTGCTTGGACAAGAAGGCTGCAGAGAGAACCGGGTCAGGTGGCTGTGGGCCGGGCCAGGGGAGGTGGCGGGAGTGGGGAGCGGATGAGGCCAGGTCGCAGGCGAGCCCCCCAGGCCCCGCTTACCTGTCCCCTTCCCGGACTCTGCACCGCTGGGCTTCGCATCTGCAGAGAGAAGAGCAGGTTCACAGGACCAGCAGAGCTGGGATTAGGGGATGGAGTCCGACCCAGTAGGCAGGACACTCACCTGCCCAGGCAGCCAGGCAGAGCACGGCCAGAGCCAGCAGGGCAAGGGCTGTGAGGGCCTTCATGGTGCCTGTCCGAGGTTCAGGCTGCTGCAGCGACTCACTCTGCCCTGCCCGTCCTCAGCAGAGTTTATACTCGCTGAGGTGAGGGGCGGGCAGACGCAGGGGCAGCTGCCAGGGCTAATTGGGGGTCATCACTCGGCTCTGGCCAAACCCCAGAGGATGTGGCTGAACCCTGGGGGTGACGCTGCCAACCTCAGGGCACTGCCCCGGCCGTTCCTCGGAAGCGAGGGTTGCCCAGGGCCCCAGCCCCAGCCTGAATATTGGCCAGGGCCTAGGGAGGGGCTCTGAGCTCTAAAATAGGTCTGAGGAGAGCAGGTCCCTCACAGGCTGTGATTTGCAGTCTGCCCCGGGCAGAAGCCAGACCCCAGGGAGGGCAGGGCGCCTACCTTATACGGGCAAGGTCCTGAGTTCATCTCCACAGCCAAAAAAAAAGACCACAGGACTGCTTGGCAGCTCAGGCCTGCACATCAGGGCAAGGGGGGAAGAGCCAGCAGGTGGGGGGACGGGCCCTGCGCCTGCCTGGCCTTCCTCACCCACACCACCTCCAGGGCTCAGCAGAGGCCAGGCCGGATGGATGGTGTGGGCTAGGCAGGAGTCTGGGTGAGGAAGGGGCAGAGAGAGGGCTCTGCCCACGGGTGAGGGAGGCTCCCCACCCTGCTTTGGGGGCCCTGCCTGGCTGGAGATATCTGGAAGAGGGGAGGTGAGCAGACCCAGGGCCCTGGAGCCCCCATTCACTACGCCAAGGGGGCCGCCCCGTCCCCACTCAGGACTGAGCCCAGGGGCAGGCTGCCTAGGGACGAAGAGCGCTGGCCTCCCGTGCCCTCTGCCACCCGCCCACCACTGCAGCCTCCAGCTTGAGGATGCGGCTGCAGCCTTGACCCACAGGGCTCCAGAACCCCAGTAGGTCTTGGCCCAGGAGACGCCGGCCCGGAAGCACCCTCGCAGATTACAGTGTGATGGCGGAAGTTTATTTACAGATGTGGGCAGAACCTGGCGAGGGCCCCTGGGCTGGCCAGCAAGACAGCAATCAGTGGAGACTGAAAACAGGCCCAGGCCAGGGTGGGGGACAGTGTGGGCCTGCACTGTGCACCCGGAGGGCAGTGGAGCCATCCGGAGAGGGAGGGTACACCAGCCTGCTCCGCCTGGCACGGGCACATGCCACCTGTCCTGGGTTAGGGCCCAGCGTGCCAGTCACAGCCCTCTGCTTTGGCCGCCCCTCCCTCGGGCTCCATCAGGACGGCCGCCAGCTCTCGCCGCTGTTTGCGCAGGGCCTGTGGCAGGCAGAGAACAGCCCGTCAGGGTCTGAGACCAAGCCAGTCTCTGGGCCGCGCCTCGCGCTGGACAAAGCCCAGGAGGTCAGAGGCACAAGGTGTCCTTGAGGTGAGGTGCCACAGCCACGTTCAGCACAAGCCCCCCAACCCTCTGATTGCGCCAAAGCTTCCTGTCAGGGATGAACCCAGACCCTCACACATGCCAGGGACAGGTCTGCCACTGGGCTCTGTCCCATCCCCAAGTGAACTGAAGCTGGGCTGCAGAAAGCGCATCCTGGAGCTCCCAACAGGGCTCCAGACACCCAGCCGCAGGGCCCACTAGGGCAAGCCAGGACCTAGAGTCAGGGTGGGCGGGGCTGCGCTCTCCCTCGGGCCGGGAGCCCACATGCAGAGCCAGTGGTGCTGAGGGTCAGCACTCAGCTGAGTGGGAACCAGGGCCCAGTCTGGCACAGGGAGACTGGAGGGGCAGAGAAAGCACCTCCCCAAAGCCCTGGCAGGACCTCCGGGCTGCAGCCAGGTGGGCTTGGGCAGAACAGCTGGGGCACCTGAGAGCCACAGATCCGGGGACCTGCTTGTCTCAGGAAGAGGAAGTCTGCCCCAGGAAGTGGACATAAGCTGGATGCTTACATGACAGACGCTCTTGCCAGCAGTGTCCCTGCCAGGTGACCAGAGACCTCCCAGAGCGGCCCATCCCACCCCTCGACGCATCTGCCTGCACCGTCCTCCCTCCATTCACTCCAAGTTCCTGAGGCCATCGGCAAAGTCAAGTTCCCTTTGCCAGGGTGTGTGTGTGTGGAGTTGTACCGAAGGCTCCAGAAGCCACTGTGAGGTGTGCGTTTCAAGGACACCACGCGCTCCCGCGCGGACTAGAGGAGCCAGCACCTTGGCATGGCTCCTGGGGGCCGAGGCAGGGGAAGCGTGCTTCGGCTGGACTTCAGCAAGGGCAGGCTGTCCGCTGGGGGGGTGCGCAGGGCGGCCATGGCAATAGGCAGCCACCATGCTCCCCAGGGTTCTCTTAATGGGGAGCGGGACACCGCCAGGCTGGAGCTCTCCAGGGTGTTAGAGGCGGAAGAGCCCCGGCTGGACACTCGCCTGCCAGGCTTGCTGCTGGGCCTGCACCTGCTGCTGCAGCGCCTCCACCTGCCTGCGCCCCGCCAGCACGGCCTCGGCCAGCTCCTGGTTCCTGGCCTCCTGCTTCTGCACATGGCGTCGGAGGGTGTCCCGCTGCTGCAGGAAGTAGGGTGCCAGGACGCTGCACAGGTCTCTCTCGGGGGTCCCACTGGGGCGCCTGGGGGCCACAGGAAGGACGTGAACAGGAGGGTCCTACTTCTTGGGCCACCTCACCCACCTCCAGCAGCCTGGGCCCAGGGTGCGGTGCTGTGAGCTGGCAAGAGCAGGGGTGGCTCCCGAGAGCAGGCCTGGAAGAGCGGCTCCCAAGGGAACCGAGGGAAGCAGGGCTGAGGGGTGACTACTCGGGGAGTGGACCCTGCTGCTGGAGGTTCCCTCGGAATCCCTTTCAGCTGTAAAACTCCATTCTCTTATGTACTAAGGCCACAGAGCACAAAACAGTGGCAAGTACACAGCAGCCCTGTGGCCTGGGGGTGAGGGACAGGAGGCAGTGGAGGCCCAGAGGCCAGGCCCACCACAGCGGTGCTCTCAGATTCACTGGAAGAACATCGAAATCACAGCCGGTGCTGGGCAGCCTGGACGGCGCGTGGCTCCAGCTCACCCCGGCCGCCTCCTCTCACAGGCCCACAGCCTGGACGACCGCGCTTCCTCCCTAGAGGGACCCTGTTCCCCCACGGTCACCCTCTCGGCCCAGCCCCACAGCCTGGGCACGGCCGCCCTTCCTCACCAGGCCGGCCCCTTGTGGTTCTTGCCATCTTCCACAATTTTATCCAAGGAGTTCAAGACAGTTTCTAGGTTCCCTTCCTCTTTGATTTCTGAGATTTCCTCCTGAGGGAACGGAGGGAAGAGCAGCAATGACCCTGGACAGGCTCGCGGTGGAAACACGCTCATTGGGAACCCCGCTGGGGAGTTCGGGGATCCCTACTGCACCTTTCTAGCATCCCAAAAGCTCCGACTTTTTATAATTAAGGAAATAAGATATAAATGGCAAACATTTAAAAGAGCCTGCAGCCGTCCTTCCCCTCCACACGGTGCCATCCTGCGGATTCAGTTAAAGCCTCTTCTGAGCCTGGCACCGGCCCGGGAGCAGGAGCAGGATGCACACAGACAACGGAGGCCTTGCCCTGCCCTTGCTGACCTCGGAGGACGGACGTGACTGGGAGGGGTGCCGGGCCTGCAGCCCGCTGGGCAGAGGACAGGTCACCGCCCTGGGATGACGAGCGAGGGACAGAGGCCAAGCCAATGGTGGCTCTGGGCTTCCGGCCACTCACCCGGATGGATGCCTGCAGCTGAGTGATGAACTTGTCGTGGATCCGCTGGGTCGTCTCTGGCTGCAGCCGGTGGAGGTGCTCGTAGCAGTCGGCAAACCTCTGGTAGCTGGCAGGGGAGAAGGCGGCGCCACCGTCACCGGCCGCCTGGGCCCGACTAACACGGTGGACAAAAATCTCCCTTGCAGCGCAGGTCACAGGGTGGTGTGGTGCCCACCAGCACCCTTCTGTGCACAGCCCTGCTTCATGGGGCCGCGATGCAGGATCCGAGGCCAGCAAGAGCCCATCCCCACGACACAGAACACGAGAAAGGGTTGGCATTACTGCAGAACCGCGCAAGTGCGCAGATACCAGAGGAGGGCGCTGCAGCAGGCCCCGCGGCCAGGCAGGGAGGCCTGGGAGCAGCGTGAATCCCCGCGCTTCCTGAAAAACTCAGGCGAAGTGACAGATTGTAGAAAACACGCATTTTTCAGGAGGAAAAGTTCATCTCACGTGGGCCAGGCTGTCCTGCCCCTGCAGGCTGTCGGGCCCCAGGGACAGGCACAGTGGGCGCAGACTCGCAGGTGCAGCCTCCCCGTGGCCGCTCCACGTCTCCCCGTCACCCCAGGAGAGACCCTAACCCTGCCTTGGCCTTCGGAGGATCCGGGCTTCTGCCTGGGTTCAAATCCTGCCACTGCTACTCATCAGCTCAGACCTCAGACAACCTCCCCCTCCGTCGGCCCAGCTTCCTTATCTGTCAAATACTGAGGACGATGGCGTCTGTACCTGGCAAAGCAGCTTCAGTGCAAAGTGGTCGGTGGCGCGGCCTCGCGGTCCCGCTCTCACCAGCAACGCGCACCTCGGGCACAGGAGCCCTAACTTCTTGGTGTCCTGTGCTGAGAGCCACTCGCTGCCCCTCGGAAGGCCGTAAATGTGTTTAGGTTGCAGCTGCACCTACAGAAGCCGGCCCAGCGCCAGGAGATCCTGTCACCCTGCCATCTGGGCCTGCCTTCACCCAGAGAAAGTCTAAATTACAAGGCGAAGCCTAGAATCAGCGAAGTGACCTTTAAAAACCACACTAAAAATCAAAGCCACACTGCCGAGTCCCAAAACTGGATGACCACAGTAAACTGATTTTAATTCACTCTTTGTGCACTGAGAACCCTTTACAGATTCTGAACTTGCCGAAAGAGCATCTCGGGTCCCGCACTAAGGGACAGGGACAGAAGGGTGCGGTGGTGCAGCTCGGGTGCACCGTGTGCTCAGCAGCTGTGAGGCTTCCTCTCCAGAAGCACAGGCAAACAGCTCACCGCAAACCGACTCGGAAATTAACGGAGCAGTTATGCCCCGACCCGGCTCTGGTGGTCATCAGTCTGTCGGGTTCTAGGTGCAGACAGACTGTGGGACAGCAAGGAAAGAGCCGTCTCAAGGTCACAGGGCTACAGAGAATGGACTGCTCACAACTTGTCCGCCAGGGGGCAGCAGCGAGCGGCGCTGTCCTCGACGCCGAGGCCAGGACAAGCGCGGGGCCCACAGAGGGCACAGGGGCTGGGGACGTTGTTTCCCCTTTCTCCATCCTGCGCACACTGGGCAGGCCCACGACCCAGAAAGGGAGAAAGGATAAAAGGAAAAAAGGGGTGTTGAACCCAGGGCCTCTGTACTAAGCTACACCCTCAGCCCTTTCTAAAAATATTTATTTATTGTACTGGAGATCGAACTCAGGACCTTGAGCTTGCCAGGCAGGCAGTGGCACCGCTGAGCTAAATCCCCACCCTGCTTTTTAATTTTTTGAGACAGGGTCTTGTTAAATCACAGAGTTGCACGGGGAATGGTGGCGCACGCCTGTAATGCCAGCACTTGGGAAGCTGAGGCAGGAGGATTTCTGTGAGTTCGAAACCAGCCTGAGCTACACAGTGAGATCCAGTTCAGTCTCAACTACATAGTGAGAACCAGTCTCAAAAAACCAATAAATCAATCAATCAATCAATCACCGAGTTGCCCAGGCTTGGCTTGAATTTGTGATCTCCCTGACTTAGCATCGCAGAGTGCTAGGATTACAGATGTGAACCACCACATCTAGCAAGAAACCTTTCTTATAGAAAATAAAGTGGCCACACCAGCACTTGAGAGGCTGCGGCAGGAGAACTGTCACGCCTGGGCTACAAAGTGAGTTGTAGGCCAGCCTGAACTACATAGCAAGACCCTGTCTCAAAAAAACAAAAAATTTTAAAAATAAAAATGAATCCTAGGGCCAGGGATTTAGTTCAGTGGTTCGGTGGCCTGCCTTGCAAGCGCAAGGACCCGAGTTCAATCCCCGGTACCCTCCAAAAAAAATCCTTTTTTTTTGTTGTTGTTTCATTTTGTTTTGGTTTTTTGACACAGGGTCTCACTGTGTAGCTCAGGCTGACCTTGAATTCTACGTAGCCCAGGCTGACCTCCAACTCGCAGCAATCCTCCTGCCTCAGCCTGAGTGCTGGGATTACAGGTGTGCAAAACCATGCCTGTCTTTTAAACATAAAATTTTAAAAGGTTAATTGTTTAAAAAGATCAATAAACCAAGAGTAGGGCTGGGGATTTAGCTCAGTGATTTCATCACCTGCCTTCCAAGCACAAGGAACTGAGTTTGATTCCCCACACACACACAAAAAAAGAAAAAGTGGTGGTGTGTGCCTGTAAGCCCAGCACTCAGAGGCTGAGGCAGAAGAACTGCTGATTGTTCAAGGTTGCCCTGAAATATATATTGAGATCCAGTCTCTCAATTAATTAATTAATTAAATAGCCAAATGCAGCAGTGTACACTTGTAACCCTAGCTAGCCGGGAGGAAGCTGATGCAGAAGAGTCGCAAATTCAAGGCCACCTTGCACAACTTAGCAAGACTACGACTCAAAGTAAAACGGGCTGGTGGTGGTAGCACACTTCGCCTACACAAGGCCTTCAGTCTGATCCCCAACACGCCAAATAATCTCCTTTCTTTTTTTGGTGGGGTGGGGGGGTACCAGGGATTGAACCTGGGCCCTTGCGTTTGCGAGGCTCTGGAACCACTGAGCTAAATCCCTGACCCTATTTTATTAATTTTTTTCATTTTATTTTATTTGTAGTGTTGGGGGGCCGGAGATTTTGCTCAGTGGTTCCACAGCCTGCCTCACAAACGCAAGGGCCCGAGTTCAATCCCCAGTACCAAAAAAAAAAAAAAGAAAGAAAGAAAGAAAAATTAATAAAATAGACCTCTGGCTAGATCAAGTCCAAAAATAGAAACAAAACTTAATGGAAAAGGGGGAAATAACAAAAATGAATTAAAATATTTCAAATAGTTTTAAGTACATAAAATAGGACAGAAGTGGTAAATTTTGGAGAAAGATTTATAAAATAATCCCTGTCACAAGAATAAAACTTGCTGCCAAACATGGTGGGGCACACCTGTAGTCCCCGTGCTTGGGAGGCTGAGGCAGGAGGATCGCCACAAGTTCAAGACCAGCCTGAACTACACAGTGAGACCCTGTCTTAAAAAAAAAAAAAGAAAGAAAGAAAAGTAAAAAGTAACCCTGCAAAGATCTGTAGCCATTAGACAGTTATACACCGAGACCTGCAACAAGCACAGTGGAGAATGCTGCAGAGAAGCAAGCCCGGTCCGCTAGCACCATTACTGCCCCACGAAGGCAAGGAGCCTAAACAATCCCCAGAGCACTGACCTACTGAGCTCTCCCAGTCCCACAGTCCAAACTGAAGGAGCAGAGACCTACCAGTGCAGATCAACAACACTAACGAACTACAGAGAAATTACAAGATAATCTGAACAGGGGAAGAAATGAACATCTGATAAAGTTCAACATGTAATCTCTCATTCCCAGCCTTTTATATTTTTTATTTTGGGGCAGTTGCTAAGGTGCCCTGGCTGGCCTCAAACTCCCAGTGATCCTCTTGCCTCAGCTTCCCAGAATGCTGGGATTACAGGTGTGGACCATTATACCCCACTGTAATCATTTTTTCTTTAAAGAAAATTCTCAGAAAAACAATTATTATGAAGACATTTAGATTAGGAAAAAGACAATGTTTTCTTTCTTTCTTTTTTTTTTTTTTTTTTTTGGTACCAGGGATCGAACTCGGGTCCTTGTGCTTGCAAGGCAGGTGGGAGAACCACTGAGCTAAATCCCTGGCCCAACAAAGATAATTATTGTTCTTATTGTTTCACTTTTTCTTTCTTTCTTTTTTTTTCTTTCTTTTTTTTTTGAGACAGGGTCTCACTATGTAATTCAGGCTGGTTTTGAATTCTCTGCAATCCTCCTGCCTCAGCAGTGCTGGGATTACAGCGGTGCGCCAATACACCTACCTATTAAACATAACCGATGACACTGTCCAAAAAAAAAAAAGGAAAGAGGAGCAGAGTGGTGACGCACACCTGTGATCCCTGCACTTGGGGAGGCTGAGGCAGGGGACTGTTGTGAGTTCAAGGCCAGCCTGGGCTGCATAGTTTGAGACTGTCTTGAAAAACAAAAAGGGGGGGTGTGTGGCACTGAGGCTGTAACTCAGTGCAAAGGCCCAGAGTTCAATCTCCAGTAAACTCCCTTGCCCCAAAAAAACCCCAAAACACAAGACGGCAGAATAATTACCTTGCATAAAGGCTCCTGGAGCCTTGCACAGAAAATACTTCTGCAGCAACAACTGACGCAGAGATTTCTGTCTGTGCCAGGAATGCCAATAAATTAAAAAACAAAACAAAATAGCCGGCGTGGTGGCACACGCCTGTAATCCCAGCACTCAGAAGGCTGAGGCAGGAGGATGCTGTGAGTTCGAGCCAGCCTGGGCTACATACTGAGTTCCAGGGCAGTCTCAACTACATAGTGAGACCCTGTCTCAAAAACAAAACAAAACAAAACAACAACAAAATCAACTACATGGTGAGACCCTGTCTCAAAAAAAAAATGTTTTTGTTTTTTTTTTTTAAAAGGTTGGGTGTGGTCTGAAGAAAAAATGATTTTTTTGTTTGGGTTTTTTTCTTTTGGTCCCTGGGATCCAACTCAAGGCCTTGCACTTGCGAGGCAGGCGGCCGCACCACTGAGCTTTTTGAGACACACGTTGCCTGTGCCTCTTCTTCCCAAAGCTCTGCAGTGTCCCTGTCCAGGGTGTGTACCTACCCCCCCCAACTTCACATAAACCCGCATGGACCCGGTAAAGGCGGGCAGGCAAGCACACGCTGGCTCCTGAGGAGAGAGCGCACCTGCAGGGGACATCGGGACCCCGAGGCAGACGCTGGAAAAAGATGGAGTCTTGTTTTTGAGACAGGGGTTAGGATTTTCCTATGTTGCCCAGGCTGTTCCTGAACTCGGCTCCCGTGAATCTGCTGCCTCAGCCTCCTGGGTGGCAGGGACTGCGGGGACATCACCGACCCGGGCCACAGAACGGAGTAGAGTCTTCATGAAGACAAGAACAGGCGAAAGGGCCGGGGAGCCAGGGATTTAGCTCAGTGGTGCCACCACCTGCTTTGAAGGCGCAAGGACCTGAGTTCGATTCCCCCCGTACAAAAACAAACAAACAAACAGTGGCTCCAGAGGGTTGGGCAGAGAGGCTGTGGGCAGGACACCTCACTGGAAATCCTGGCGACTGTTTCAGCACTTGTATGCCTGGCTGATGGGACCCGGGTAAAAGCCTTCCTCAGAGTCCATGTAAGCTGTGCGTCTCACACCTGCAGTTCAGCACTCGGGAGCCTGAGGCAGGAGGATCTCGTCTGAGTCCAGCCTGTGCAGTTCGGCGACTTAGTGAGACCAGGTCTGGAGATGTTTAAATAAACGAATAAAGGGGGCTGCGGCTGTAGCTCATTGCAGAGGCCCTGGATTCAAATCCCAGGATTACCAAAAGCAGTGTCCATCATTGTTTACTGTTAATATGAAAGTCACAAAGACAGGAGAAATGCCAACGCTGAGGTTCAGTCCTCAAGCGCCCGGGGAAGGCACCGATGAGCCCCACAAGGACAGCAGTTTTCTAGGACCCTGCGGGGAGGCGCCGGCGCGGAGTTCACGGCCAGGCGAGCCGCCCGGACCTAACGCCGCGTTTCCACTGAGCGAGGCTTCCTGCGAAGGAGCCGCCCGCTGGCCCAGGTGACCGGCGAGCCCTCTGCACTCCACACCGGAGCTCAGCGAGGCCGCAGCGACCGCCACCACAGCCCACGTGACCCCACCGCCCGGCCGATCTCGCGGGATTTGGACCACAGCTGGGCCCAATCAGTCTTTCCCCTTCACCGTCTCCCACTTTACCTCCCGGCGGCGACCAGCTTCTGGAGAAAAGTGTCCACCATGGTGTCGAGGAGCTTCACTCGTGAAAAGGTCGTGCCTGGTGGCACGGATTCCGGAGAGGGTCCGTCAGGCTTTTTCTCAGCCGCTGCCTCATCGAGGCTGTTGGCTTCAGCCATATTGAAGTCAAACCGCCAAATCGAAAGGCTCGGCAGCCCCGCCCACTGGTGCGCTCGATTGGCCGAGCCTGCACTGGCCGCCTCTGATTGGGCCTGCGGAATGTCTGTCACCGAGGCGTGCGGCTTGCAGATCCCACGATGTAGTCTCCGCAGCCGGGAAAATACAAGCAAACCAAAGCCCACGGGCTGAATAAAAACTTTTAATTACACTTCAGAGACTTCGTACAGTGCAACAGAGAATATTTGCTAATACATTATTCACAAGAGTCCATTTTATCATTTTAAATGAATCGGCATTTCCTTTCCCTTGTCCTTCAGCACTCCGATCACGTTGCCTGTCTCCTCCAGGCTCTCCAAGTTTTGTGTTTTTGTTGTTTTTTTTTTCGTTTTGGTTACCAACCAACACATTAAAACTTCCAGCTGCTTTGGTCTCCAATTTTAGGAAAACAGAAGTCCACTGTCCCGTTGCCACCCAGATATTTTAAACCCAATCCCAGTCCCTAAACTATTAAGGGAAAATGAGGGCCGGGAGTCCCTTTAGTTCTTTAGTTCCATACAGATCATCCTTTTAAAACAGAGGGAAGAGGAAGAGAGGAGGGGAGGGAGAGAGAGGACCAATATGAGTGAGCTCTAAGACTGAAATACTGTGCAGGGAAAATGAATCAGAAGGAAAGGAGTCGGGGAGACAAACACAGCTGTCTGTACTTCCAGACCAGCCTTGAACTCTGTGTGGCTGACCTCAAACTCGTGACCCTCCTGCTCCAGACTGCTGAGTGCTGGGATTTCCTGGCTTGCACCACCACACCCGGCCCGTCCATGCTTCTTCACCCACTTTGCCACTGAGCGGAAAGATGGAAGATGGGAGAGAAAAGATGTGAAACTAACAAAACCAATCTCCCACGGTCCTAACAGGAAAAGCTTGAGGGCCTTTGCTGTCGTGATATTATATAGGTGGCTCTGAGGCAGAAGTGAGTGACGGACAGAAGATTCGAAGGATCAACTCGGGATGGCCATTGGTGACAGAAACTGAAGGGCTCTCTTGACAAAGTGCACGGAGGGACAAAGAAAAAATAAGTGAATGGAAAAAAAACCCTTAAAGATGAGACAAGGTGGGGAAGGGTCGTGGCAAAGGTAGTGAAATACAGTTCTCAGCTTTTTCCCTGGCCAGCATGGAAGTATGTGGCGCAGCCATAAGAAATCAAGGCTTCAAGGTAGCTAGCACCTTTCAAATTGGCACCATGGCCTTTCCCAGAGTGGGACCATTAAAAAGGTTAAGGATCGTCCAGGCCAAATATCTCAAACAGGAAGGCAGAGCTTGACTGCCCTCCTCTCATTTCATGCACGGCAGCTTTCAGCCCGCAACACAGGCTCGGTGGAGGCGGTGGAGGGGGACGATGAGGCGGGGAAGGGGAGCCACCTCCAGGCCCCAGCCCCGAGGAAGGCGCTGCCGAGGGCTTGGCAGTATCTGGCTGGTGAGTGCAGTGGTCCTGGTATTGGGTAACGTCCTGAACTGTTCTTTATTCTCTTTCAAGCATGAGTGCCATGACTAGGAAGACTCTTCCTACCCAGGGGAGGACAACAGCATTCCACACCTCACAAACTCCCACTGGGAGACAACTCCGCCCAGAGTCTGACAACGGTAACACGGGTGCCGTGGCTGCCTGCGGGGAGCACGCTCTCTCCTAGGCTTGGCTCAGTGGCCTGAGGAGAAGTGGTCGGAGACCCGTGGCCTCTTGTTGCTCTCTCCACCAGACTTCCCACAGCAGTGCCCCAGACAGCCTGCTCCGCTTAGACCTGTGCCTCCCGTGGCCGGCCCCTGGGCCTGGGGGAGCCAACAGATCAGGCTGCTGGGACCAAGGGACACTGAAAGGACACGGAAGGATGGGAAGAGGGCTGGGGAGAAGCTACCTGCCTGAGGGAGGGATAGGCTCCAACGGCAATAGCTTAGTTCACGGATGCTGAACACACACACGCGCACACGCACACAGAAGAAACTTCACTTTTCTCCCTGCCGGAACGACTCCTCTAGAGGACGAGGGCCCTGCAGGGCCACACTCCCTGTGCAAAACTGCCTGGCCACTTGCCCCACGGGGCAGGGAGAAGCAGCTCAGTCCCGGATTTTAAAAAAGCAAGTGTAAGAGATGAAGCAGGAGAGGGCTGGGGCCGAGAGGAGGCCAGCAGGTCCTCGGTCCGGATGGGGTGTAGGGCCTCAAGGAGGCTGCCCAGTTCAGGATTGGAAACCCTGGGGCCGGGCCAGGCCGGAACCTCTCCAGCAAGAGCAGCTCACAGGCGCCGCCCTGCCCAGCCCGCAGGCAGCCAGGGGAGGGCACTGGCTCCGCCCCGCCACCGCCCCTCCCGGTGTAGTGAGGGAAGCACAAGCGGCTCAGGGCGGCTTCTACCAGTGCCTGGAGTCCACCAGCTCGGGGCGCAGGCTGAGCTTCTTGAGGCTCTCGTAGCCCACCACGATGACAATGGTGGAGGGTGTGGCCGAGATGATCCTGGCTGACAGCCCCTTCATGAGGCCCCAGGGCCCCTCTTCCGCCATCAGCTGTCTGAACGTCAGAACGATGGAGCTCTTGCCTTCAACCTGCAAAACAGCACAGGGCCGATCACTCCCTCTGCTCCTCCCTGCTCTGACTCAGGTGCAAGTGGGGAGCCAGACCCTGAGGAGAGGCGGGTGCTGCGGCAGGGCCTAGAGTCTACTCCCTGGCTTAGAGCGCAGCCCTGCCTAAGGACTGCTTTGCACCTCGGTGTCCTCCAGTGTAGAACAGCAGTAGCAGTACCTCCACCATGAGGTTGTTTGGAATGAAAAGAAACATTTACACTTGCCGCCAACAGAATCTGGCTGACCAAAGGCTCAGTGTTGCTTCTTAACATCAGACAGCTACCAAGCTGAGTCCCTGGCCCACTGGCTGCCCTCGGCTCAGGGAGGCTGGGTCTCCTGCTCCTTTTTGAGACAGGGTCTCGCTTTGTAGCACAGGCTGGGCTCCAACTATGATCCTCTCGCCTCATCCTCCCAAGTGCTGGGATCGAGCACCATCATGCCCGGCTGGCTGAGGCTCCCCTATCCCCCTACACCCTTCTTGGGAGCCCCTCAGGGTAGGCCTGTCATTTCCTCCTCCGTTCTCCTCCCAGAACACCTACAATAGTGCCACAGGAGAGTGGGGTCTGACCCTGTACACTTCTGCTCCGAAACATCCAGGTGCCAAGTGTTTTCTCTTTCCTTTTTCATTGACAGGGTCTTACTAGTAGTCCAAGCCGGCCTCGAACTCAGGGCCCCGGCCTCAGCCTCCCAAGAAGCTGGAACTACAGGCTTGCACTACCATACCCAGCTCCCCTACGACTCCCTTTCTTATGTTTCCCTCCTCTTCTCACTAAGAGTGACCACACCTCCTGTACATCTTTGCTTCTCCACCTTCCTTTCTTCCTGAGGTACCCAAGCCCAGCATTAAAATCTCCCTCACACAGCACAACCCATCCTTGGCTTATTCTACAGCCTCCACATATTCTCCAGGCGAAGGGCCAGAGTCTTTAAACTGACTGGAGACAGAGACAGCCTGGTGTGGCTCTGTCAGTGTTCCTGCCGGCCCACACAGTCCAGCCTGCGAAAGCTATTTAAAAGCAGTGAGAGCTGGGCGTGGTGGCACACACCTATAATCCCAGCACTCGGGAGGCTGAGGCAGGAGGGTCACCGTGGGTTCGAGACCAGCCTGGGCTATATAGTGAGTTCCAGGTCAGTCTCAACTACATAATGATACTGTCTCAAAAAAGCAAAAAAATTAAAAATTAAAACTTAAAAAAAATAAAAGCAGTCAGTTTCTGTAGACAGCCCAAGCTCTAGCAGAAAAACCAGACTCAGGAAGTAAGTGAAATCAATACCTCTACAACCACAAATGTGCAAGATGAGGAAAGCGTGGTTTACAGGCATAGGAAGAGGATTCCAGTTGACAGCTGGGAGAAACAGTAAGAAAGCTGAGCATGGTGGTGCATGCTTATAATCCCAGCACTCAGGAGGCTGAGGCAGGAGGTTCACCTAGTGTTTGAGGCGAGCCTGGGCTATATAGTGAGTTCAAGACCAGCCTGTACTCCATAGCAAGACCTTGTCTCAAAGAAGCAAAAACTAATTTTAAAAAGTAGGAAGAGCGGGAGTGGGGGGGGGTGCACATCTGTAATCAGCACTTGGGAGGCTGATGCAGGAGGATCGCAGCAAGTTCGAGGCCAGCCTGGGCTACAAAAGGACACCCTGCCTCAGAGCCAAAAAAAAAAAAAAAAAAAAAAAAAAAAAAAGGCAGGAAGAATTCCTGGAGGCAGCGCGTGTATGACGAGGGCAAGTGAGGCGGTGGACAGCACTCGGCTGCCTCTGTGGACCAGAAGCAGGAGCACGGCTGTGGCTCAGAGGCTGCCCCTCCCGGGAGCACAGGGCCCACGTTACCTGTACCCGGGTCCGGATGACATCCATGGGATTGGTGAGGACCGAGGCAGTGGCTGCAGCCAGGGGCCCGGCGACGGCCTGGAGGACGATGTGCGGGCACTCCTTAGGGCACAGGTGCGAGAGCTGCTCTGCACCAGGGAGAGAGGGGCCTCAGACGCTGCCCGCACCCTACAAGCTGTCACACATCTCGGCTGCCGCGAGTCACCAGGACGTCAGCCCTTAGATGGCGCAGGAGTCCTGCCATGGGGCTCAAAGCCTCTCTGCTCGCTGACTCCTTCACCCAAGGACAGAAAGCCCCTCCTGAGGTCGAACCAGGGCTGCTCGCCTCTTCCGACGTGGTCCCGGGAAGGCTGGGTTGCCCTGGGCAGGCGGCCTCTCCCCTGCATGCCCGCACCTGTCCCAGGCTCTTGTGCTGGGCCGTGTGAATGCTTTCACAAATAAAATTATTAAAAAAGAAAGTTTTGCCCTGCAGTGAGAACTTTCCGCTGACCTGTATCTAGAAAGAATTCACTTTTCAAAATGCTAATGACAATGGACTGGAACCCAGATTCATTCATTCCCACTCCCTGCAATTAAATACTGCACTTTTACCTTCAGGAGATGAAAGACAAAAAAGTTCATTTATGTATTCAACAAGGACTTATTGAGTGACTCAAACTGGTCACCTCCCTCCTGAGGATTTAACAGTGAATAAAAGAGACTCGAATTCCTGTCCTGAGGAAATTCACAGTCTAGTGGGGGAAGACGGACAATAGACTAAAAAGCAAAATACGCAGCCACACCAGAAAGTATATGCTGTAGATACAAATGAAGCACCAAGGTAGGGATAAGAGAGAGGATTTCATTTTAAACACCACAGGCACGGAAGCCCTACCAAGAGAGTAAAGTGTGGGCAAAGACCTGAAAGCAGGCCCAAGGTTCTGGATAAAGAGCTTTCAACCCGGAGACAACACCTATGCAAAGGCCCTGAGGCAGAGTGCTCCAGGGCAGCACGTCTAGTAGCCTGGGGCAGAATAAAGGAGAGAAAAAGACTAAAGGAATCCCAGCAGGTAAACCACTTTTCAGCCTTGGGCCACGGCACGGAATCAGGTTTTCCACTGAGACTGGACAGAAAATCCTCATATCTCAGTGATTCCCTCTCAGCTCTCTCCTGCAGCCAGTTCCATACCTGTAAGACCTTTCCCTCATACTCCTAGCTTTGGGAGTTTGAGGCCAGGCAACTACAGACTGGAGAAGTGGAGCTGGCAGGGCAGAAAATAGGTTGTGTAGTCTAGGGGGAAAGGGAGAACCCCTCTAGCCCTGCCAGAGCCTTGCCCTGTTTCTAACCTCTTTCTCCCCAGAGTCCTATTAACAGAGACAAGGAGAACTGTGGGCTGTGCCTCACGGGTCCCCTATGTCTCCTGCTGCAAAGGTATTTTCCATTCTTAGACTGCTGCCTCGCTGGGCCTGTCGGCTCTGGCCCTCAGCCTACAGGCTGCCGTGGGATTCAGGTTCCGGTTCTAACTGTGCAATGTGCCACCTTCCTGAGGCTTACGCAAAGGGTGAAAGAACAAACGCAAGAGGGCGGTGAAGAGTCCACGTCTTTCCTTCCTTTTCTTTAAGGAGAGGAAGGAAGTGTGTGTTGAGCCAGGCCTGGTGGTACGGGTCTGAGCCCAGCACTTTGGGAGGCTGAGACAGGAAGATCACTAAGTTTGATCCCAGTCTGGGCAACTTAGCAAGGACTTGTCTCAAACAAACAAACAAAACTTTATATTATATATAATTAGGGACCAGGGCCTGGGATGTAGATTAGCAGCACAGCACCTGCCTAGCACATGCCTAGAACCTGCCTATAGCAAGTACGATGCCCTGAGTTTGATTGCCGTTAACAAAATATATATATAAAATTAGGGCCAGGTGTGGTGGCGCACACCTGTAATCCCAGCACTCAGGAGGCTGAGGCAGGAGGATCACTGTCAGTTTGAGACCAGCCTGGGCTACATAGTGAGTTCCAGGTCAGTCTCAACTACACAGTGAGACCCTGTCTCAAAACAAAACAAAAGAAAACAAAACAATATATATAATTAGGGACCTGGAAGTTGGGAGTAAAATATTGCAAATTATGGGCTGGGCATTAAGCTCAGTGGCACCATGCCTACCTCGCAAGTACAAGGTCCTGAGTTTGATCCCCAGTACCAAAAAAATGCACACACACACACTGCAAATTATGACAAGTGCCAAGAAAGAAATAAGGTGCTAAAATAGAAAACTGAAAAAGTCTTCTTTCCAACAGGGAGGGAAGAGAACTTTTTTGCAAAGCTGAGCCCCAAAGCCTGAGGAGGAACCAGCCACACAAAGAATGGGGAAAGGTGTCTTAGGCAGAGAGGGCAGACCTGCAAAGACCCTGAGGCAGAACAGACTTTGGTGTGCAGCAGAACCTGAGCCCGTGGCCAGGGCAGGCCAGGGCCCAGAGACAGAATGGCACGAGTTGGGGCTGGGGCAGCAGATGGGGCCCAATTCCTCTGCGGCTGCGTGGGTGGCAGGAAGTGGATGTGTTTTAAATGCCCTCAGCACTGGCACATATGAGGCAAAAGGGAGCAACCGTGACCAGTGTACTCACGCAGGAAACACTTGCTGAGCCTTTGTGACTCCGCAGGCCCTGAGCAAGTGAGAGGAGATACAACGGAACCAGAGGGGAAGCTAAGTGAGCAACACAGCAGACACCAAGAGTCCAGCAGCCAGAACTCCGCAAAGGTTAGCCTGAGAACAGAGATGCTGGAAACATAGGGAAATGAGCTTTAATCATAAGTGAAATCAAACAAGGACAGACAGACTGCAGAGGAAGTGTTCACATTTCCTGGGAAGCGTCCTTTTTTTTTTTGGTACTGTGGATGGAACCCAGGGGCTGCTCCACCACCAAGCTACCTTCAATGTGTTTTATTTTGAGTTTTTTTTTCCAGGACTGAGAATTGAACTCAGGAACTTAGGCTTTCGAGGCAGGCACAGTGCCACTGAGCTAAATCCTTGGCGCTTTTTTTTGAGTCATGGTTTTGCTATGAAGTTCAGGCTGGAACTGAACTCACTACGAAGCCCAGGCTAGCATCAAACTCACAGCAACCCTTGTACCTCAGACTCCCGAGTGCGTCACCATGCCCAGCTCAGGAATCCAAAGTTTTCTAACTAGCCCAGAAGAAAGACTGCGCAAAACAAAAGAAGAAAAAGAGCTAGCAAAAAAGAGTATATAGTCAGAAAGACAGAAGAGGAGCTAGAAAAGTACAGTGCCACAGAAACAAACTGATTTCAGGTTAGGAAGCAGTTTCAAAGTTTCAGCTGGAAAGGGAATGACCACTGCCAAAGGCAAAGCACCAGCAGCGGACAGGGAGGCTGCAAAGCAAGACCACCCTAAGCAGGGGAGGCAGTCAGCCTGGGCGGCGGGTGGCAGCTCGCTCAGGTCCTGGGCAGGGCCAGGCGCCAGGACGACCCTTACAGAAAGCGGTCCGGCAGGGTGCCTGTCGGGAGGCCTCAGAGAGTGCTGTTCTTTCAGGTAACAGGAAATGAGGAGACGGATCTGCAGATGGGAAGGGGCCGAGAGGTGGAGGAGCGGAGCGGGAGGGGAGGAAGGGGAGGAAGGCAGTTAAGCTGCGTCACGGGCTTGTACCAGGTCCCCGTGAGCAATGCAAGCGTTATGTACACAGACGCATAGTAATAAAACATAGAAATGGAAAAGCAAAAGGATAAAATGTGATCCTTTCACCTAGCAATCCCAACTTCTGGAAAACATTTTGAGTAAAACATCTTATTAACAAAGCTGTAGGAGTCAAAGAGTTAATGCTTGTGTTCAACAATGTTCTGCAGCTCACAGTTACGCATCAGTTTATCTTCAGATCCCAGACACCCCACAGCTTTGGTCCCCCGACACCTCCCAGTCCCAGCCCGCTGCCCGCGCTCTGCTGCCTCAAGTGGATTCCCGTGCCCACAGGGCATGCGGGGCCCTGTTCTGGATCACCTGCTCTGTCTGTCCCCTCGCTGTATTTATTACAAGCCCCCTTCAAGGCCAGAACCACACTGTACTCACTCTTGGGTGCCCTGGACAGCCAGCCTTAGCCGGGCGAGGGCCCGCTGCCTCTACTCCAACAGGCACAGAGAGGCGCGGGCCCCCGCCCCCCCCCCCCC